GATGGAAATAGAAAACACTATCCTGAGTGAGGTGTCCCAGACCCAAAAAGATGAATATGGGATGTACTCACTCATAATTGGTTTCAAGCCATAAATAAGGACCACGGAGTCTACAAGAGGTGAACCTAAAGAAGCTAAGTAAGAAGGTGAACCCAAGGAAAAACATATAGTTGTCCTCTTGGCTAAGGGAAGTAGACCAAATTTCCGGGGAGAAAATGGGATCTTGGGGATGGGGTGGGATGGGGGTAAAGGGAGATGGGGAGAGAAAAGGTAGAAGGGAAGGAGGGGGGACCTGGGAAACAGGAGAATTGGGATAAAGGAAAGGTGGATAGGGGAGCACGGAACCACAATTCTTAGTTAAGGGAGCCAGTTTAGGGTGGGCAAGAGTCTTGACCCTAGAGGGGCTCCCTAATGCCCAAGATGAGGTTCCCAGTTAGTTCCTTGGGCAGCTGAGGATTGGGAACCTGAAATGACCCTATCCTAGAGCAATACTGACGAATATCTTGCATATCATCATAGAATCTTCATCTGGTGATGGATAGAGATAGAGACAGAGACCCACACAGGAGCACTGGACTGAGCTCCCAAGGTCCCAAGGAGGAGCAGAAGGAGGGAGAACATGAGCAAAGAATTCGGGACCACGAGGCGTGCATCCACCCACTGAGACAGTGGAGCTGATCTACGGGGAGCTCACCAAGCCCAGCTGGACTGTGACCGAAAAAGCATGGGATAAAACCGGACTCTCTGAACATGGCGAACAATGAGGGCTGATGAGACACCAAGGACAATGGCAGGGGGTTTTGATCCTACTTAATGTGCTGGCTTTGTGGGAGCCTAGCCAGTTTGGATGTTCACCTTCCTAGATATGGACAGAGGGGGAGGACCTAGGACTTACCACAGGGCAGGGAACCCGGACTGCTCTGTGGACTGGAGAGGGAGGGGGGGAGAGGAGTGGGGGGAGGGGGAGAAGGGTGGGAGGAGGGGGAGAAGGGTGGGAGGAGGGGGAGAAGGGTGGGAGGAGGGGAAGGGAAATGGGAGGCTGGGAGGAGGTGGAAACTTGTTTTTTTGTTTATGTTCTTTTTTCTTCTTTTCGCATTAAAAAAAAATTTTTTTTTTAAAAAAAAAGAATCAATCCACAGGGTCTGGTCCTCTGTGAAAACAAAAGAAGACCCTCTAAAAAGCATCATATCCTGAGACCCAAATTCTGAAGTCATACCCTTATGAAATCCATTCTGTTTTACCTTGTCAGCCCATATAATGAAATGTCTCTCTGTACTTAGCTCCTTCACAGTCAAAAATTTTAACGAACACACAATAAAAACATAATCCAGACTCTCTGTGAATTTTCCATTTTTACGTGGCTTATTTTCCTTTATTTCTTATAATACTTTCTCTTTAAAGACTTTACCCCTTTTTTTCTATATATATTTTTTTTCTTCTCTCTCCCAAGCCTATGTCTGAATCTGTCCTATTGTGAATCTGTAATTCTTTACTATCCAGGACCACTTCTTAAAATGCTTTACTATCCAGGAGCACTTCTTAAAAACAACTTGCACCACGTAGAGGTAATATGGTACTGCCTGTTTACTGCCAGTCTAAACCTCAACTGCACCGTTATGGTAATTACAATTACAATCATTCCTACCTGAGGTCAGCACAGTTCAGCACTGTGGAGCAGCTTGTGTCTCTGAGCTGCAGATTAGTGGGCTGCTCTGGATGTTGGCTACACCTCTCTCCAATTTCAAAATGGAGTACGTACCATTTTTGCTAGCTCTGGGGCCACCAGGTAGGAGCCACACTCAGCACTTTAACTCTGAGACTGAGCGTGTGGCACAGAAACTCTTTTCATCCAAGTTACAGCCAAATCTGACATGCAGAGCACTGCATAGTCTGGAAACATCTCTCTGTATGGTGGCAGGAATCCACCATGTTCTCCCGCCTGCCTAAGCCTGATTCGGCCGTCTGCCCAGGTGCAGGCAGGGAGCACTGAGCCATTGGCATGGTCTTAGCTACTTTCTTCCCAATCCCAAGCAGGAACAGAAACATTCAGTCCCATAAAAGCCATTGAAATGCTTTAAAAAGCCAGTTTGCACTGGCGGCACAGCCCCAGGAAGCCGCGTTTTAAAATGATGCAGCTTTTTTTCTGCCGCTGTTGCTGAATCAGGAAATCTCTCTACAGCACGCCCTAGCAAACAGCAAAAGGCTGTGTTAAACTCTGTTTTTTCTTTGTTTAAAATTAAGCTCTCTCAGGTTTTACATGGAGTTTGTTACCACGTTGGGCAGCCACTCTGTAGTGATGAGCAGCGGGCTGTGTCCTGCCCCCCCCCCCAGCTCCCGCATGACTAGCTTAGCCCCAGAATAATTACATGGAAACTATTCTTTTAAACACTGCCTGGCCCATTATCTGTAGCCTCTTACTTGCTAACTCTCACATCTTGATTAACCCATTTCTAATGAGTGTAGCACCAAGAGGTGGTGTCTTACCAGGAATATTCTTAACCTGCATCCATCTCAGAGAGGAGAGCTATGGCAACTGACTCACTTCCCTTCTTCCCAGCATTCTGTTCTGTCTACTCCACCCACCTAAGGGCTGGCCTATCAAAGGCCAAGCAGTTTATTAATTAACAAATGAAAGCAACAGATAGATGACACTCCCACATCAAAAGGCAGACAAATAAAATACATTTCCTAAAGCACTGGGGAAAGAGCTATACTTAGAACCTCAGAGAGTTGAGGCAACTGCTTGAGGTATCTGAATGGAAGCAAATCCACACAAAGGTAGAAGTGCATAGTAATACAAGGCAATGCTTGTCTACAATTAGAGCCAAACTTCTGAAATATTTGAAATCAAAATAATTGATATGTTTAAATAAAATGTCTATCTGTTGAATCCAGACATGACCTAAGATGATGGTGCTTCAGCAATTCACTTGCTAATCACACTTTGATGATGTAACTTCTCTGACGCGTATCAAGAATTAGATACTAAGTATTTTTCTCAAGTTGATTTAGGTTTTCAGGATTTGAAAGCATTAGACAAGTTCTTCTAAAAAAGATGGTTAGCTACACATTTGTATTCTCAACAAAAATCTACCTATAGGAGACAGAAATTCCATAGATCTTACAAAAATCCCAAGGAATTGCATAAAGGAATCTTATTTTTTCAGCTTTCATTAGCTTTTTATTGACACTGACAAATATGCATGAACAGAACATGTAAAAAACAACAAATTTATAAGAGAATGTTACCATTTCCACAATTTCTCATCCTATGTGATTTGTTAGTAAAATCCTTGACTGGCAGTTTTCCCTTTTTATTTAAAAGCATGCATGTATCTTTTCATCAAATAATGTAAAATTACTCTTCAAATGATCAAGGAAATCAAAGAATCCTATTGTAGCACAGTGAATTAACAATAATACTTACAGCCCTGGCTGCAAATCCAGGCATTCAGTTTCACTTAACCTAGCCCTTGATCCACAGAGCTACATAGCAGTGGAGTCTCAGTGCAAAGGACAGGTCCTTGATTTTTCTGAGCTTCTAGGAACATTGGTGAAGGCTAATCTTAGGAAAATGTGAAGAGGAATGACAAGGCAAGGATACCCTAACTTCTTTCATCGTTTGCCAAAGTTTATTTTCTGCCAATTAGATCCTAATTAACCAGACTTAATTAAAAATAGCTAAAGCTTGTTACTATCTCTTACAACTTAACCCATTTCTATTAATTTATGTGTTGCTACATGGCTTATGACTTGTTACTTCATTTTCTAAATCTCCTGCTCCTTGTCTGGCTGTCAACCACACCCTTTTCCCAGCATTCTGAGTCTAGTTTTCCCACCTAACCTCTTCCTGCAGTTTCTGGCCAGTTAGCTCTTTAATAAACCAATGAGAGTAACCCATCTCACAAGCATCTAAAATAATTATTCGACAATACCAGCTTTTTAGTGTGGGTCTTACCAGCTCTGCTGTGTCTTAGAGACTTACTTGCAGTTGTGCCCCACTCCACTCCTAGATGCTGCCCTACTGGCAGCTAGCAGGACTGGCCAGTGGGTACTAGAACGTGTTGTGTATTTCTAAGTTCACAGAACCAAAAGTGCAAGAATTACAGTTCTTTTGGAGGCACAATGTTTTTAGTTTTCCATCTTTCACTTATAAAAATCTCTAGTGATGGGTTTTTGAGAGTCATCCAATCTACTATCTATCCAAAATTTGACTGACATTGCTAAGGTAGTCTTTGTATATTTATTCTTCTGTAGTTTTTCCTTTTACATTTTAGTCTAGCATTTTTTTCTGTATTCTTTTCAGGTTTTACTTCTAGGATTGTAATTTTTCCCATATTTTTCCTACCAATACTATGGCTATAATGGGAGTCAACACTTTGGACAAACCTGCAGCATGAACAATTATACTTGTGCATGTTCCTACCAAGTGCTTTTGTAGCCTCATATATTATCCAAAGTATTTGCATAGATGTAAAGTGAAGTTGCTTATTACAAATGATACAAAATCCTTCTATATATTTACATATAATACTGAATTTGTGTCTCAGAATCCATAAACTTTAATATAAACTCACTCTCTAAATAAAGATGTTTCTATGTTTTTTTAAACCATAATAAAACCAGACAATGGTATTTCATTGCAACTTTTATTGACAGACTTTTTTAACAATGCAAAAACTTAATCTCTACTAGAGTAAATTCTATTTCTACAATTAACAATTAAGAGATTTTATTTAACAAAGAGTTATTCTGAACAGTTATACCTTTCTCATCTTTAGTTTCAGAAAAGAATTCATGGTTGGAAAGTTAACTTATTTTACTTTCCCCCCAAACTAATGTATTTCAGTATTCAAGCAACACAGTAAAACTTAAAATATGTCTCTTCTCCTAAATCAACATATTTTAGAATTCAGATAACATAGGGATAACGTTTTTTTTTTCCTTTTGGAAATGAAGTTAGGCACACAACTAAAGACTTTTAGTATCTGCCTCTACTTTCATATCTGCTTTCTCCATGACCTCCAATAGAGCTCCCAAACCTTGAACTACTACTGTATGATTCACGAGATGGCATATATATCCTATCCATAGGTGAATGCTCTCGTTCTTGTCTGATCCCACACTCAGGATATTCCCTATCAAAAGGTGGATGAATTCCTTGCCTACCGCTATGTTCATAACCACTTGAGTATGTATCACTTCGGCTGCTTGAGTAATTTTCTTGGCTTCCACTATATCCATCTCGTGAGCTACGATAGTCATCATAGCGGTTGTTTCCTCTGTAAGTCCCTCTTGCAGATGGTGCCACACGGAAGCTTCCTAAAATCCACAAATAACCATTAAGAAATCAACAATTTTTTTAATAGTATATAATGATTTTAAAGTTCCAATGTGTGCTTTTATTTTCTGAAAATGGGCTGGGATTTCAAGTTCTCATACTGTCTCTTAATTCACTGAAATAAGCATGGACATTATTTTAAAATGCTTTTTCACAGACTAGATAAATGTAAGAATGGCTATTTACTCATAATAGGAATAAGTTAAGAATGCAAAATTACAAATACTGTAAACATCCCCTAATTAACCAATAATCCATGCTACATTTCTATGTAAAATTCAATTAAACAGCAATTATTTATTAAGTAAAAATAGGACACTTACCATAACTTTCATAGGTATCTCTGTATGAGCTTCCACTAGAATATTCAGAATAATCTCTACCCTGTCCTCCACTATAGCCAGCATGTTCACTAAATTGTAAAAGAACATTTTAATTAATGCATGAATAAACAATTTCAGAAACATATTCCATAAAATATTGTAATACCTGAAGACTTTAGACGCATGTTCATCCCGAGAGCTGTAAAAGTCATAATCACGGTATCTGTATCCTCTAGAGGTTGATTCATATTCCTTGATGTCTCGAGAACTTGGATAAACTCTCCTTGAATAACTTAAATTAAAAATAACCATTCAAATTTTTAGGTTTGGCTAGTGGGCCAGTGAATCCAGGGGAACTGGCAAAGATATTAACAGGTACTTCTCCAAATAATACAAGCCAATGGCCCCAAACATCAACTGCATTCATAAAAATTACTAAATATTATTATAAAAATTCAAATAAAATATGCTAATTAAGCACAACTATCAGAATTATTAAAATTTTTTAAAATGCAGATAAACACAATACTTTGGAAGAGAGAGATTGTATAAAACCTAAAACCTTAAAACAAGACTGGTAAGATATAAAATGACAGTTTTATAAAATAACATATTAGTATATTAGCAAGCAATTCCATTCCAGTACACTTAAAAAAAACTGAAAACAACTCTAATAACTGTAACATGAATGTCCATACCATTGCTACATCACAAACAAAACCAGACAGCTTAAAAATTATATACACGTAATAAAATATAAGTCATAATAGAAATAAAATAATATAAAAGATTAAATATGAATATACCATTCTAAAGTAAACAGCTCAAATCAGAATACAGCATATTATTTGAGCCTTATTAATAAATAGTATATATCTAGAATATGACTGAGCAATTGAAAGGTAATAATTTTTTGCATTGAGAACAGATGATAGAGTTTTTAATTACACATATGCAGAGCACGAGTATGAATGTTTGTTCTTAGATATGTTCCAAAGTCTGTTCAAGACAGTGTCTCATACTGTTCTGGAACTTTGTCATATAGGCTAAAGGCACATGAGGTTCTCCCAAACAACACAGGTGAGATTATAGGTCTTATACCTGACTTGTTCATGGGTTCTGAGTATCTGAACTCAGGTCTTCATCTTATGAAGGAATTATGTGGCTCAATGAGCCATCTTTCAAGTTTCTAGAAAATATTTTATGTAAGTATCTATTTACATAATTATCATTTGTGAGAAATGTGGTAGTGTATGGTGGCCAGAAAAATCTCTCTTTTCCTGAGATTTTGTGACATCTTGACATCTCCTTAGACTTTGACACTAAATATATTGTTTTTATATGGCACTAAATACATTAATTAGTTACAACAATGAAAATTTAACAATTTTGCTATTTTTCTTTACCTGTCTTTAGAAGAGTGTCCATAATCCCTTGGTAACAGGTAGTCATCTCTTCTTGAAGACAGTGTCTCTTTTCTTGGTACATTTCTGGAAATCTCTCGACCATGTGGTTCTGGACATATTATTACAAATATTATTTTACAAATATTTCAAGTTGTAAATATTTTAAAGTAACATAATTAACAATGGATTTTTCTTTCCAAAATACTTTTTAAAATATTCTAAATCAAGCATGCTCCATCTCTACACCTGCCTTGTATGAAGAAATAATCACTTGGTGTGTTTTTTTTCTGACACAGTTGTCATATCAGTAAATGGTACCACATATTTCAAACATAGTTTTCAATGTAGTCAAATATCAATCTATTTAATTTATAGTTAACAAACTGCTCATTTATTTTCATTATTCCAACTATGTCATTTATATTTTAATGATCTTTACTCATATTGCTTATTGCATGCTTTATTATATTGTTTCTCTACCACCTAAAATTCTCTAATCAAAAATGAATGTAGGTGGGAGGCCTTGGACTTCCCACAGGGCAGGGTGCCTTGCCTTCTCTTAGAACTGGAGGGAGAAGAAGGAGGGTATGTGTGAAGGAGCGGGAGGGAAGGGGGAGGAGGGGAGGAAGTGAGAATTTTGATTGGTAATACTTATAAAGTAATAATAAAAAATATATAAAAAATTCATTATCATCATGCTTAAAATTTTTGGATACATCTAGAAATCTAGACATTTCCTGCTTTCATTTATGTGTGTGTCAAGAATTTACCCTGTCCTCTCAGTCCAGTACTGCTTCTTGTCAGAGCAGAAAGAGTAGATCTTTTAAGAGAAGGACCTTCATTTCTCGAAGATAAACTTCTTTTAACTGCAAAGTGTCTCCGAGAACTCATGTTGAAATCAGGAGTATAACCACAATCATCTGCATTTAAAGTAAAATCTTCTTAGATAAGGGACATCAATACTTCACAGAGTAAGGTTTAATTGTCATCACAAACTTATTAATTAATGCTATGGTCTTAGAAACTAGCATTTTTCCTAAATTGGTAAAATTTACTATTTCCTTTTGAAACTATCATTCCAAATAAGGGGCAAAGGCAATTTTAACATTTATTGCATAACTTAAAGCTCTACACGTTTTTTTATCATATCTGTTAAAGAAATGATAGAGAACTAGAGGGAAGGATAAACAAAAATTTATCAATTAAATAAACCTAAAATAAGTATTACATAATTTGTTTCATTACTAGGAAGAATAAATTAATTTTCATTTATTCTTATTTCCAGTAATACTCTATAAGACACATCTATGAAATACAGTAATTCAAATGTAAAAGCAAAATATACTTACCAAATACTTACCAAAAAATAAGGATAAAGGAAATAATACATCATACTGTTAAGAAAGTAACACTACTTATGAAACATACATTAAATTCTTAAAATCATTTGTTTAAACATTTAAGTGTACATTCTAATTCCAAATTGTATAAAATTTCTATTTTCATACACAAGACTAAAAATGTTAGATTTAACTCTAATGAGTAATACCTTGAGTCACAGAGGTGGAACGAGTAACTTAGTTCACCAGAAATGGCCAGAGAAGCCAGGAATTTAGGCACACACAACGCATAGGAAGGAAAGCTTAAGGACTTGGTTCTGGGATGAGGTGTATCTTGAACTGACTCTGGTCAGCTAGTTGCTACTCAGCCTCTTTGAACTAGCAGATTTTCATCCTAGTCTTTAACTTCTGAATCTTTAATAAATAGAAGGATAAAGACTTAATTTAAACCTATATATTACAGCTGTTGCAGAGTCAGGACATAGATACCAGAAGTCTCTCCAAGTCATGGTCTGAGTGGCCAGCTGGGTGCTGACTGAGGGGCTTAGGGCAACAGACAACAATTAAAATAACAGTAGAGGGCTGGAGAGATGGCTCAGTGGTTAAGAGCATTGCCTGCTCTTCCAAAGGTCCTGAGTTCAATTCCCAGCAACCACATGGTGGCTCACAACCATCTGTAATGAGGTCTGGTGCCCTTTTCTAGCGATCAGGCATACACGCACAAAGGATATTGTATACAAAATAAATAAATATTAAAAAAAAAAAAATAACAGTAGATTCATGTGTAGCCAGTAAGCCAACAGAAAAACATCAGATCTCTGAGTTCAAGGCCATCACCGCCTATTGAACAAGTTTCAGGTCAACAGAGAAACCATCTTGAGAAAACCAAAAACCAAACAAAAAGGAAATAATTTTTCTAGATTAAAATTAATAGTTTTGCTCATAATAATGTAAATAAAAGTAGAAATAGTTGTGGTTATATTATCTTACCAATTTTCAGTCTTACTGCTACTACTATGTAAAATTACCCAAATTTTCTTCACGTGAAGGGTGACTTCTTGTTCTGCTTTCTTTTCTTCCACATTTCAGAATCCTTGAATAGCCTCTGCCTCTTGAAATGGGTGGTGGTCTCCGCCGACTACCACTTTCAAGTGATGGTCTGCTGGCTTGCTCTACTTTAATTTTTTTTCCATCCAAAGACTTAAAAAGATCAAGAATATTATTAACAATGACAAATTTATTAACTTACATGTTTTAACTTTCAGTGAATCAAATATGATTTTTTTAGAATATTTGGATTCTTAAAGCAAATACATACAAGTTCATTTTTTCCACAAAGAAAAACATATGAGACAAAAACAGAATGCCAATTTTTTACAATCTGAAAAACAGAGCTTAAAATACAAAATGGCATTATCAAGAGTTAAAATAAATGAACCATAAAGGTTGGTGGAAGTGGAAGAACCCTGTTATAACAAATGATCAGTCCTAAAAATATCTAAGTAAAACAGATAAAGCAGGTTGTATACACACGTATGTATTCTATATATGCAACAATGAAAAAAAGAGACCATGAATTTGAAAGAGAGCAAGAAAGAACACATACTGAAGGATTTGGAAGGAGGGAAGGAAGAGAGAAATGACAAAATTATATTAAATTCCTCAAAAAAAGAAACACATTTAAAAAGTTGCTGGAAAATTTTAGAAGAAAATAGTAAAGAATAAACTTAAAAGTAATTTAAATTTTTTTTCATGACTCTGAAAACTGCTAGGGGAAATGCAATCTAGATTCTTAGATGCAGAAAAACAAGAGTGTCTGCTGAATCAATTTTCAAAAATGTATAAATTAATGAGGTAACCATTTTCAAAATTATTCTTACATAAGATGGTTGTTAAGACAAAACAGAATTCCAACTATAAAAATAAACAATGGTTGATGAAATAACTTTATAGTTATCTATTCTGATAATCAAAATCAATTTGACTTAACTGACATCTGTAAGATTTGTAATCTATTAAAAGGTGAATTTTACGCAAACGACTTTCTCAAGAATATTTTCCCACAGAATTTCTTCCATAACCTGTCCAAACCTTTTTCCAACATTCCAATAGTAGGCTATTGCCTGTATCTTGTGAGTTTCTTTTAAAACGTATACCCAATTCCATTATAGCAGAATATGATCCTGATGCAGATTTAATGTATATGACAGTTTGAATCTTCTAAAATCATAATTTTGCTATTGGTATATAAAAACAAAGCTAAAAATGTCAGTCAATTTTTGTGCATATTTTAGCAAACTGAAAATACAATCAATTAATTATATTCTTACCACTCCATTCATTTCTCTGATAGCATTCTTCGCATCTAGAGGATGTTGAAAAGTAATGAAAGCAAAGCCTCTAGACTTCTTAGTTTCCCGATCTTTCATCAAAATAACTGGAACAAACAAACATTTCTAATTTATAAACTTTATAAACCTAAATTTCTATAAATTTCTAAAATTATCAATTTTTAAAACACTTATATTTTGAAAAGTGAGGCACAACACAGCACCAATCATTAAGACAAACTTTAAACAAGACTCTAAAATCTTACATTCACATTATTACTGGCATTCTCAGTATCAACAGACAATAAATTTAGTGCCAGTCTGTTATTTTGTCATATATCCACAGCATACACACATGTGCATGCATGTACACACATACATACACACATGCATACATATACATACATACACGCACAAACACAATCTTGGGTATAATTTCATCTAATGCAATCAGTAGTTTTATAATGAACAGAAAATTATAAAAAAATCAAGCAGTTACAATAATGAAAATATCACAGTTTCTATAGTTCACAAAAAATACTTTATATATACTCTGAAGAGACTTAATAGTATTGTTTTAAGAGGTACCTTGTGCCATGGGTCCAAATCTTCCAAATACTATTTGAAGAGTTTTTTGTTTGGTCTCAATGTTGAGGCCTCCTATGAAAATTTTCCCAGGCTGATCGGCTTCTGCCATTTTTCTATAAGTAGATAAAAGGGTAAAAATATCATTATAACATGCTTAAAACAAAAATACAATGCAGATTTGATTCCTAGAACATGGCAGTTCAAACTCTAATTCTGGCCTTCATGAACAAGCACATGGTTCAGTGGCACACATATAAACAAAAGACTCATATACAAAGTACTAAGCAAATAAAACAAGGAAAATACATAACCTTACATCTTAATGGTATCTTCTCTCTCATTGTTTAGAACATGTTTGCTTATAGTAATAACTTTTCATGTATCCATTCTATTGGCCATTTCCTCTAGCTTTCTTCAAGCCTGCCCTTCCCATGAAGAGATGGGCCACTAGCCTGTTTTACCCATACTGCAGCATCCCATTAGTCTGCCTTTCCCAAGCTTTGTGTTCCAACAGCCTGTCCTCCTGGGAGGGGGGGGGGAGGGAGCGAGAAAACATCTACCTTTTACAAACAGTAGCATCCCACTAACCTGTATTACCCAGTCAGAGTAGACCCTACCCTTCTCAGATAGCAGTTGTTCCACCTAGGGCACAGGATTTGCTAGTTTGCTTTTCTCAGCCGGTTTATTCAACAATCTGTCCTACACAGGCAGAGGTGTTCTATTCCATGAACAGTCCTATGCTATGGTTTCATGCTGCAACACGCACCTGAGGTTTTTAGTGCAGTGTCCCACATGCATGTGCTTCTCAAAGATCAAGGTCTCACTTGAGACTTCACTCAGGCACCTTATCCTGCAAGACTGGTCTTTGCAGAGTGCACTGTAGCAGGAACCTATAATTTTTAGAGTCTAACAAATTTGCCTCTCCCAGGCTGCAGTGTCTTACTAGTCTGCTCTACCCTAGCAGCCACATATTAGGGTTCTTAAGGAACTGTGGTGTACAGTCAGCCTGCCCCACCCAAGCAGCAGAACGTTTTTAGGCAGCCTAAGCCAGGTACCTGCCACAAACCCATCGGTTAGAGAAAGCGGCATCTCCCCCTCCCACAGGGTTTCTCTGTGGCTTTGGAGCCTGTCCTGGAACTAGCTCTGTAGACCAGGCTGGTCTCGAACTCACAGAGATCCGCCTGCCTCTGCCTCCCAAGTGCTGGGATTAAGGGCAACACCACCGCCTATCCAGCGGCATTTTAGCATCCTTCTCTTAACAGGCTACAGTATTTCACAAACTGGCCATACTCAGCCGGCCTCATCTAGGAGGAGTATTCCCCGAACAGAGACCAGAGTCTTTGTAGCCTACTCGACCATGTGGGCAGTATCTTAGAAAATTTCCCTATCCCAATTACTCCAATTCTCAGAAGTCGGCTCTCCCCAGGCTCCGTCTCCCGCACTTATAAATCTGCAGCACCTCACAAACCTGTTCTACCCGGTCCACGGAGAGTGGGAAAACCTTGCCGCACGAGGTGGTAGCACGAGTCGGCTCTCCCCAGGCTCCGTCGCCCGCACTTATAAATCTGCAGCACCTCACAAACCTGTTCTACCCGGTCCACGGAGAGTGAGAAAACCTTGCCGCACGAGGTGGTAGCACGAGCCAGTTCTTAAAGGAGGTGTCTAACCAGAGGACTCTACGCAAGCGCAAGTGATGTCTTCATTAAGTCTAACCTATCAAAGTGGTGAGTCCCTCAGGCCTCTCCTTCCAGGAGGCGGGAGTCCAACCCTACACAGGTGACATGTTAGGACGCAGGCTACGTATTCCTGAACTGTAACATATCATCATAGCACGAGCTTTTCCCCCCGCCACAAGCTCTTCCTGATGCCTAACCTAAGTGGTGGTTTATCAGGAGCCTACACTGAGGCAGTGATACTATGGCATTAATACGTGTTCCTGTGGTTCAGGTGCTCTGAGCTAGGAAAGTTAAACTGACTTTGCCGTGAACCAAAAGCGGCACTTGAAACAAAATGGTGCCTAAATGCTTGGCACCTTCGGTCAAACACCTCACAACCCCAAGCCCCGCTCCAAATCTAAACAACCACTAATAGAAGCAACTAATTTAAAAACTATCAGTCACCTATTTCATACAAGTACATAGTTAAATCCCAATTTCCTCCTGCTCATGCAAATTTACCCTCCCATGAACAGACTTTGGCTCCGTTTGAAAGAATACGTATTCGGATGTATGTTCAATTTTAAAACATTTCTACCATGCATGACAGAAAAATCAGCCTGAATTATATTTCCCCGTGACAGCATATAATAACGTTATACTATCTGTACTAAAATATAGAATGAATTAATTCATTACCTTTTACTGATATTCTAATTTTTGTCTCAACAGATCACACACGCCTGAAGCAACCCGGACTTCCAACTAACGGCTCAACCAGCCTGGCAAGTAATATAAACAGGGCGCAGGAACCCGGATGTCATCAACCGCAAAGGAAGTAGGGAAGTCGGGAGCTGTAGAGGATCGAACTAAGAGATGACTTTGTTGAGAGGGGTTATGATATTAGGTTTCAGAGTCAGAGATGAAGACTTTAGTTAATGAATAGGGGAGAAGAATAGAAGTCCCCATTAATCCCGAGAGAATAGTTATAGAGTTGCTGCTACAGTTCTGGGCTTAAACCTAAGGCAGTGCACTACCTCTCAGATGTCCGTTTAAAAATTTCAAATTACCAAAATATATTCACTAACTTGTATGCATTATTTTAAAATTTTCTTCTTATCACCAAGATAGCTCAGTGGATAAGAGAACTGGCAGCTCTTCCAAAAGGTCCTAAGTTCAATTCTCTGCTACCACATGGTGGCTCACAACCGTCTATAAAGAGACCAGGTAAAATTCCCAGTGTCTGTCTCAGGCATATCCATGGCATATCTCTACTCTGCTTTCTTCCTCCCAGAATTCAGTTCTGTCTTCTTAGCCTACTTAAGTTCTGCGCTATCAGGCCAAGGCAGTTTCTTTATTAACTTATGAAAGCAACACATAGACAGGACCTCCTACACTATTTCCTCTTTTCTGTTTACACAAAAAGGAAGGTTTTAACTTTAACATAGCAAAATTACATGTAACAAAACAGTTATCAAGCAAGAATTATAGTTACAATATTTATATCTATTTTATCTTTTATCATAACTACACTACATAAACTACATAAACTACACTGAAGTTCTCTGAGTAATCCAGACTGATTATAAAATATGTAGAAAAAGGACTTGTTAGGAAGATGAATGGCACAACAGTATGGTGAGGGGACAACAGCTGGTAATGGGAGTGAATATGATCAAAATATATTATACATTTGTATAAAATGCCATAATGCAGTCCATTATTATATGTAATTTACATATGCCTATAAAAATTTTAAAATATGTAACTCACTAAATAAGTTCACATCATAAAACTTAAAATTCTTTTTATTTTATCATGAGTTAAATCAAGAAGACTCAGTAAAGCAGTTAAACCCAAACAAACTTTACCAAACCTCTAAAGTAAGTACAGCTCTATGGTAAAAAAAAAGGTAAATTATCCTGACTTGGTAGTGCAAGCTGCCTGCTTGGAGCCTGGAGCCAAAGGATTCCAGGTTCAAAGCCTGGCTGGGTTATACAATGATTTCAAGACTAGCCTAGGCAACTTAGTGACATTGTGCTTGAAAAAAATATATAAAATGATGACCAAGTTTCCATCAACAGGACTGTAAAATGTGTGTATGTGTGTCTGTCTTTTACATGTTTTTATGAATAAGTAGGATATGAAGAATTCTTAGGACATAGATCTTTCTGTACAATATAGTAAGAATATATTCATGGTAGTCAAAGGTTGTCACAAATAGTGCTAATTACTGTAATCTATGGTGTTTGAGTAATAAGGATGCTGATATATCTTTTGTAATAAATGTATCACTTTAGTTAGAGGCATTGATGTGGACAAGCAATTAGGAGGGGGAAGGATTTCTTGGGAACTCTAGGAATGTACTATTCAATATTGCTGTGCACTTAAATTGTACTAATTTTGTTGTTTGATAGTCATTTCTTTTCCATTATCTAATATATATTTTTCTTGATCCCCTGTCATATCATTGGATGATTGACAGGTTAACATAAGACATAGGTAGGTAGGTAGATAGATAGACAGGTATATATATATATATATATATATATATATATATATATATGATTTATATGTATACTTACTAATAAATATACATTATTTATTAAGTATATATTCCTCGCCCACTTTTGAGGGCTTCACATAATCTGGACTGGCCTCTTTTCTCTGATGCCTAGAATAACTGTGAACTCTTGATCCTCCTGAGACTACAAGAATGCACCACCAAAAACTGAAATGTTAAAACATTTGTATTTCCTGTTACTACAGCTATATACAGACTTCTCTTCATTATTTTAAGTATTCTATCTCCTGTCATTGTTTCTTTGATTTCACTTACTTGGAAGGTACATATTATTTTCAATCTTTTTTTTTTTTTTGGTTTTTCGAGACAGGGTTTCTCTGTGGTTTTGGAGCCTGTCCTGGAACTAGCTCTTGTAGACCAGGCTGGTCTCGAACTCACAGAGATCCGCCTGCCTCTGCCTCCCGAGTGCTGGGATTAAAGGCGTGCGCCACCACCGCCCGGCTTATTTTCAATCTTTTAGTAAAATATTTTAACATACCTGTTTGATGTCACCATTTGAGCATAGACACACTTATAGACTCCTGAACAATTTAGGATATTAGGATATTTTTTAACTCTGTATCCAATGATCCCTAATGTCCCACATCACGTCACATAATACTTGATTCCATTTTATTTTCAACTCTACCCTCCCTCATCATTGTCTTTCGTATTATTGATTTTTTTCTTTCTTTTTTTTATTGAAAAAAAATTTCCAACTCCTCCCACTCCTCTCCCCCTACCCCACACTCCTCTTCCCCTCCCTCTCCAGTCTAAAGAGCAGTCAGGGTTCCCTGCCCTGTGGAAAGTCCAAGGTCCGTCCCCCTCCATCCATATCTAGGAAGGTGAACATCCAAACTGGCTGGGCTCCCACAAAGACAGAACATGAAG